TGAGCTCACTCTACCGCCCCACCCCACCCCCATCAACTCTGGGCGTTAAAGGGAGTGATTTTTTTAATTCTCCCCAAGCCAGATTCCATTAATGAAGCCCCATTTAGCAGAAGTCAATTTACCAAAAAGGAAAAAAAAAAAACCCTCGAGTGTACTTGCTTAAATACGTTTTATGTAGTACTGCAGTAGCGATTTACTGGACAAGCTTGGAATTCCCCAGGCCCCCCAGAGAGAAGTTAATGTGGACAGGAAGGTTTGAAGGGGGAGCCTCTCCCTTTGTGTTTCTCTCCTTTAATTATGACTCTAAGAAGGAACAAAATTAAAGAGGATCCTGGAGGGTAAAGAGGAAGGAAGACACAGGATGGAGTTCAGCCTAGACGGTTCCACGGCGTGTGCGTTTGTGACAGAGCATTACTGGCTGAGTGTCCAAACTCTGAAGGAGATGGTCTAGGTTATAATCTCACCTCTGCTGTGAAGTGCTGTGTGGTGATGAGTGGATTTCCTTACCTCTCTGTGTAGCCAGGTGGCCCAGTGGGAAAGAATAGAAAGAGCACAGATCTGAAGGTGGGGACACTCAGAGAACAGCATTATTTCCAACACACAAAGCTCTCCTGTTTGACCAGTAAGCAGAGTGCTATGTGCATGTGTATGTGCACACATGTGTGCATGTGTGTACCCATGTGTGTAAGTGTGTGCATCTGTGTGTGGTGTGTATGAGTAGGTGTGTGTGTACTCATGTGTGTGTAGGTGTGGGCATCTGTGTGTGGTGTGTGTGAGTAGGTGTGTGTGTACCCATGTGTGTGTAGGTGTGGGCATCTGTGTATGTGTGGTGTGTGTGAGTATGTGTGTGTGTACCCATATGTATGTATGTAGGTGCATGTCTACCCATGTGTGTGTGTTGGTGTGTGTGTGTATCCATGTATGTGTGGTGTTTGTGGTATGTTTATAGGTTGTGTGCACTCGTGTGTATGTGTGTATGTATGTGTGGTGTGTGTGAGTTGGTGTGTATACACCTATGTGTGTGTAGCTGTGTGTGTACCCATGTGTGTGCAGTGTGTGTATGTAAGTGTGTGTGTGATATGTATAGGTGTGTGTGAGTAGGTGTATGTGCACCTATGTGTGCAGTGTGTGTAGGCATATATGTGTAGGTGTATGTGAACCTGTGTGTGTGGTGTGTGTGTAGATATGTGTACTCATGTGTGTACGTGTGTGTGCATCTGTGTGTGGTGTGTGTGAGTAGGTGTGTGTGCACCTATGTGTGTGTAGGTGTGTGTACCCATATGTGTAAGTATGTGTACATCTTTGTGTGGTGTGTTTGAGTAGGTGTGTGTTCACCTATGTGTATGGTGTGTGTGTGTGTAGGCATATATGTGTAGGTGTGTGTGAACCCATGTGTATGTGTGGTGTGTGTGTAGGTGTGTGTGTATAAGCATGTGTGTAGGCGTATCTGTGTGTATAGGTGTGTGTACCCATGTGTGTGTGTGTGTGTGTTTGGTGTGTATGTAGGGGTGTGTGTGTGTTGGGGGGCATGTGTATAGGCATGTCTGTGTGTGTAGGTGTGTGTGCACTCATGTATACATGCTCAGACTGAAAGCCAGGCAAGAGACAAATCAGGAAGAGGAAGGCTCCACTGAGAATATGGCGCATCCTTGACAGCTTGAGGATGAGAGTGAGCCACGTCAGCATGGCGGGCAGAAGAACTGTTCATGTGCAAAGGTCCTGGGGCAGAAGCAGGCCTGAGCAAGTTTTCACAGCAAGGAGCCCATTTGGTTAGAGCATAAAGAAACAAGAGGGAGAGGTGGGAAACAGGGAAGGAGAAACTTTGCTGAAGGCTGTAGAGACACATAGTGTGGACTTTACTCTGAGGATGTAGAGGCCCATAGTGTGGCTTTTACTCTGAGGACAGGATTTTGCTTTGTTTCCTTTTTAATGAATTCTGTTAAGAGGTCATTTATATAAAATCACACTCCCAGTTGTGAATGCACAGCTCATTAGATTGCTGGCAAAAGTGGCCTTCTTTTGGGAGGAGGAATGGGATAAGGGAACTGTGGGAAGAAGGATTGGGAGGGGACAATGACTGAATTGTAAATACACTAATAATAATAATAATAATAATAATAATAATAATAATAATAATAATAAGTGGCCTTCCCACACAGTTAACAGAACCTAGGTCTGGACCATTCCTTCCTTCTCAGCCATGCACAACCCAGCTCTGGCTACCACAGGTCCACTTCCTCTCACTGGACATTCAACTTTCCCAGAGTTCCAGTGAGTGAGATTTCAGTGCGCCTTCCATGTTCACGGCCCACAGTCACAGAGCTTGCTTGTGGTCCTCACTCATGGTTCATGCTTCCTCTCCATGATCTACCCTCATGACCCACACTCACAGTCCACGTTGCTTCCTGTCAATCTTTACTCTTCTGCCTCAACATAAATTCGGCCAGCAAGTTTACCCACATCTTTGTACTTACTAGCATGGAAAGGAATTTTCTGGTGTGCTGATTTTAATTTTGTTTTTTTTTTTTGGGTGACCAAGTTCTCTTGCTGTGTAGCACATACTAACTAGCCTCAAACTTCCAGCAATCCTCCTGACTCAACCTCCTGAGAGTTGAGATTCCAAGAGAGAGAGAGAGTCACCATGTGTAATTCTGTTAAAAGCTTTGAGTCAAAGCTGGTGCCACCCCTCCATAGCCATTCGATGAGGGTCCTATCATAGAAGCCCCAAGTTCTGTAATAAGACCAAGGACACCCTCAAATGCCTGGAAAGACAGGGTTGGGTGGGGAACAGAGCTGAGCATGCGTGAGCGCACGCGTGTGCCCACACACTCATACACAGAAAGATACATACACACACACATACATACACATACATACACACACAGGGAGGAGAGAAGGGATGGGGGAGGAGATAGCACAAGGCTTGCTGTCTGGGAGGAGATGGAACAGCTAGAAGGTGCCAGGTAACCATAGGATAGCTCTGCATAAGAAGCTGGGCATCAACTCCCACCTCCCCCCTGAGCTGGGAAGTTCTCTGCCCCAACTTGCAATTAGAATCTGGACCGCTAGACTACCCCTTCCTTGCCTTTTTAAAGAAGCAGCCCTGGGCTCTGAATTATTCAGATGAAGTTCCCCCATTCCTCCTTCCATATGTAAATAGCCTCCAAGTTCTCTCTCTGAGCTTGAATTGAATTTGGCCTAGGGTGGGGGAGCCCACGGTACCAATTGAGGCTCCTTAGAAAACGTAAATGACTCACCCTGTAATAAACTATTTTAAATGGGATCTGGTGAAATACAGTAATTGGTTTCTATAATAGTTCCTGCCCAAGCACTGTGGGTTATATTCCTAGAGTTTTGTGTGCATCAGCATTTTCATTACAGTAAGAATTGAGATCAGAGGGTATCAAAAGCTCCTTGGCTAGATCTTTTGTTTAGTGTATATTTATGGGGAAGCCACTCTGTTGGTTCTCCAGTGTCTGCTCCTCTGGGTCCCCCCTCTGGTCTTCTCCTTTCCTTCTATCTGTAAGCCTCACCTGTGGGCAAGCATGAATCTTTCACCAAGTCTCCAATAGGCTAGATCAAGAGGAGCGTCCATGAGTCTGGAGAGAGAGCAAAGGAGTGTGCGCTCTGGTGGTTCATTCCTTGTTCTTTCTGCCGGGGGTTTTCCCAAACCTGCTGAAGATCTGGGTAGATGGTGCGGTTTGCCATGCAACCCTATGGTTAGGGGTATTTTCGATTTCCTCTACTCCCGGAGAGGGAGTGGTACTGGGCCCCGTCCCATATTAGTAGCCTCCAGGGCTACCCTCCTCTTATGGTTTTCCCCACTGCCCCACACCACCTTAACAAAGACTGTTTCTCAGAGCTGCTCTCTGCAGGGATCCTAACATAAAGTCTTTGTGCCAAGAGTCACTTTGGGTTCTGAGTCCCAAGTGGAGAATACATAACATGTGCCATTCCCAAGAGTCTGCTGTTGTTGGGGACCCCAGGCTCTCTGCAGTGTCACCTTGTGAGTCCCTGTAACCCTGAGGATGGGATATCACCATATCTACTCCATAGACATGTCACAGAATCTCAGAGGGTTTAGGCAATGTTCTGACAGTCATACAGCACAGTTTGCAGGTCCCTCTGAGACCGGGCTGCTTCTTTACTCAGCCCCACTGCTTCCTACCGAGGGTTGATCTTTGGGAGAACTGACAGCGAAACTGTAATTGGAATCATGTCCTGTGGTGTTATAGGGTAGGGAAGAAGTTGCTGTGGGTGAGCTGAGAGATGCCAGTCTCTGGGATAGTCTCAGTGCCCAGTCTCTGGGACAGCCTCAGTGCCCAAGTAATTTCTCACTTAGCCTCATAGACCTGGTGGCTGGGCTTCTCACTTAGGAAAGCCTGGTTCTGGGTACAAGGTCACAGGCTGGAAGCTTTGATTTGAGTCTAAGCCAAGACCTATGTGACTAAGTCCAGACCATTGGGAAGACTTTCTTGGGGCTGGGGTATTTCAGGGACTCCCGTGTGTGCGTATGTGGTGTGTGTGTGTGGGGGGGTGAGTGGGTGTGCATGCATGCATGCATGTGTGGGGGGATATGTGCGTGCATGGGGGGGTGCGAGTGTATGTGTGTATGTATGTGTGTGTGCATGTGGGGGGTGCGTGTATGTGTTTGTGTGTGTGTGGTACAGGAGGAAGGGAGATGTACGAACTCAGTCCAGTCAGAAAAGAGCAAAGACACAGAAAATAGGAAAATAGGAAAGGCAATACAATGTCGATAGGATTGTCCATAGAGGACCCTCAACTTGGCTCCTAGCCCTCTTTGGTTATTCTCAAGCCCTGGGCATCTCCTGAGATTTGGGGAATTGGAGCTGGAGGGAGTAATTTTGCCTGGAAATTCCTCCAGCTGCACAGACCCCAGGCTGCTAGAGTGAATGGTGCTCGCCTCTTGCTTCAGAAGGTGGGTAGACTCCTTGATTGTCCTGTTTTGCTCCTGACCTTTCCCTGTCTTGTCCCCCCAGGTTTACCGGAGCCAGCCTCCCAGCCCCTGTCATCAGCAGCAAGAACTGGCTGAGGCTACACTTCACATCAGATGGTAACCACCGGCAGCGTGGATTCAGCGCCCAGTACCAAGGTAAGCACAGCCGGAATGGGGCTTCCTCTGAGAGAACAGCAGTGGCCATGAGGGCCTCAGCCCTTCACACTGGTACCCACATGGGACTTTGGGCATCACTGTCTTGGGTCCGTTACATCTGTGCATCCTAAGCTCTCTATGCCTGCATCTCTAAACATGTCCAGGCAGCCTTCAGACACCACAGGGGCAGTTCTCAGACACTAACGGCCTGGCTGCTACTCTTCAGGACAGAGTCCTCATTGTGATTAGTGCTAAGAGTCAGGCCCAGTGTGAGGAACTTGACAGGCACCTCTATTGCCCCCTTATTGTCATGCTATGAAGTAGATGTTAGCTGCACACACATCTTACAGCAAGGGAAGCCAGTTTCCCAGCCAGCAGCCCCACCACTTTTCTGAGCCAGAGCCCCACGCAACCTCAGCATTGGTAGCTGAACTCCTACAGTCCAGAGGTTCCCCACACCTGCACTCTTCTTCATTCTGTCTAGAGCATGACTTTACTGCAAGCATAGGCAAGTTGCCTCAGGGAATGTCCCTACTTGCTTCCAACCTCTAATTTGGGCAGGACCTCAGAGCAAGAGAGGCAGGTAGAAACCCCAGGTAAGCACATTCATGCTCCAATAGGGAAGGCACTTTGAACCCCAGGAGCCATCACTAAAAGAGGAGAGTACTCCTTGCTCCTGAGGAGGGGCTGGACATCCATTGGATGCAGGGTAGGGGACCAGACATGGCTAAAAACTTTGCCTGTAGTTTGAGACAGTATTCAAAATTGATAAATACTCTGGGGTTTAGAGTAAAAAAAACTGCAGATGCAGGAACCATATTTTCATATCTGGACTTAATGAGTGGCCTCATTCCCTCTGTCTCCACTAGAAGGAGACCTTTGCAATGTATAAAAAATAAACCAGAAGCCCATTGGGCCTGGGGACATCACAGAGCTTGACTTTTCTGGAGACAGTATATACCACCATGGAGAGACAGCCCCCTGAGTCAGAGAGACAGCCACCTGCATCTTCCTGCCATGTTTGCCAAAATAGAAAAGTGGAGCTTTAATAGCGCACTTTCTTCTGATTGAGTAAGTATTGGGTATGCCTGATAGTTCAGGTTCTTGAGGTTCCAACGTCACCATGATAGGTGAAGGCTCAGTGACAGGCCCTACCATCAAGCTCCAACACTAGGTCACCTGATCAAGGACTCTAGATGATCTGATTACATCCTTACTTTGTGTATGCTATATATAGCGAGTGTGTGGGGGCAGTCTCTAGGTCTCCTGCTTACTGCATACCTACTGTGTGGTTGTTGAATACCTTCTGTGTGTTAGGCTCTGTGCTAGGTAGCCTTCTCCTCAAAGCACAGTAACCTGCCAGCTTCTATTTCTTTTAGCAGAAGCTCAGACAAGCTGTTTCACTCACCCAAGAGCACACATCCTCCAACTATGCAATGAGACTGGAGTTCAACTCTAAACCTTTAGGAGTTTATCCATAAAGTTGCAGGCTCTGTCCTTAGCTGTCTTCCTATGCCTGTCTGTTCAGTGACTTTGAAACGTTGGTTTGTGAATCGCACCCCACCATAAATGTGTGTGTGTGTTTGTATGCATATATGTGTCCATATGCGTGTATATACATGTATATATGTATACATACATATATGTGTGTATGTATGCATTTTTCCCAGTGACAACCTACAGTGCACACGCATCTATTGTACGACCTGTCCTCCAGGGTGTCTGGCCTGGGTGTGAGGCACCCTGAGCGTCTCTCTTCCATTTTGTAATGCTAGCTGAATCCTCTAACTTAAGTTCACATGTCTGAAGCGGGACAGGCCCACAGTCTGAGAAGTTCTGCTTCAGGCATGTCCTCCTTGAAGCTTCACCCTCTGGTTCTTGTCCCCTAACTCTCTTGCAGAGGGCTTTTATGCTGCTGTGTCTCAGGGCTCCCAAGGTCATGAGTACTCAGTCCCAGGTGACTCTGTTCCTAACCATGTTTGCATGAAGCAGGCGTGTTGGCAGTTCCATTTTTTACAAGCACACAGAGTGTGGATCAGCACTGGTGTACCATGGGCCCCATGTTTCCTTTCTTACATCCCAGCCCAGGGAGACTCAGTATGGATCTGGAATGCTTACTGACTGAGTTAATGCAGGAGACAACTTTTTATAGTAATGATGATGGTGATGGTGATGGTGGTGGTGGTGATGGTGATGATGGTGGTGATGGTGATGATGGTGGTGGTGGTGGTGATGGTGATGATGGTGGTGGTGGTGGTGGTGGTGGTGGTGGTGATGATGGTGATGGTGATGGTGATGGTGATGGTGGTGATGGTGGTGGTGGTGGTGATGGTGATGATGGTGGTGGTGGTGGTGATGGTGGTGGTGATGATGATGATGGTGATGGTGGTGATGGTGGTGGTGGTGGTGGTGGTGATGATGGTGATGGTGATGGTGATGGTGGTGATGGTGGTGGTGGTGGTGGTGGTGATGGTGATGATGGTGGTGATGGTGATGGTGGTGATGGTGGTGGTGGTGGTGGTGATGGTGATGGTGGTGGTGAGGAGAAGGAAGAGGAAGAAGAGAAAGAGTAAGGTGGAGGTGGTGGTGAGGAGGAGGAGGAGGCTAGGAGATGACTCAGAGGATAAAATACATGCTATCCAAGTGTGGGAATTGGAGTTCAGACCCTCAGAACTCACATAAATGTTGAGTGTGTATATGGCAAGCCGCCTGTATTCCCAGTCGTCAAGAGGTAGAAACAGTAGGTCTCCTGAGGGAGCAGGCTACTTGGCCAAACTGGCAAGCCCTGGGTTCAAGCAATAGACCCTGCCTCAGTAAATAAAGAATAAGGTGGAGCATGATTGAGGAAGACATTTGTCATGAATTGTCTATCCTGCACACTCATGCACATGTATGTGCCTACATATATGCAGACATACACGCGCACACACACACACACTCACAACCACATACATAGAACAACAATTACAATGATGATAATAATTAGAAGAGAATTCAGTCATGTTCATGGCCGGGCCAGGTATTCAGCTAGTACGATGCTGTCCTAAGGTCTGAGTCCTAGCCCGGCTCAGCTCTAACGGGCCACTAGAGCAGGGTCATCTTACTGCAGTTTGTACTTTTTTCCATGTGACGTTACTCCATGCTGGCACAGAAGGGTGAGTGCCTGAGGCTCTGCTCAACTCCTGACAGAACAGTTGAACAGAGGGGCACAGATGTGAGGCTGAACTTTCCCTGCATCATGGTGAGAGCTGTCCTTGGGAGAACTATTTTTGCTGGGGGCAGGGGACTCAGGAAAGGAGCAGAAAACAAAAGGCAGACAAAACCGAGAATAAGAAAGAGGTAGTGATGTAAAGCAGTCCTCAAACAGATGGCTGATACACACATCAGGACAGAGCACTCTGGGTAGAGAATGCCAGGACAGCAACTGTCGCACCCAAGGCAGAGCAGCGCTTTGTGCATGCCTCAGAGGCAGCGCCGGTCCAGCTTACAGCTGCTGCTCTTGAAAGGTCCCCGAACTAAGGATGGGTTCTGTGCTTTTAGACAATCGAAGAAAAAGGAAACATTAAAAGAGTGATGTGAGGCTGAGCAGAAGGCTCAGTGAGAAAGGGTACTTTCCATGCAAGCATGAGAACCCGGGTTAAAAGCCCAGGGCGGTGTGTAACCTAAGCTTTCAGTGGGGCAAAGGCAGGAGGACCTCTGGGGCTTGGCAGGTGCCAGCCTAGCTTCAGGTGCAGTGAGAGTCCCTGACTCAAGGTAATAAGGCAGAGAAAGGTAATCAGGACATCTGACAGACATCCTTCTCTAACCACTGCACAGGTACACACACACGCATGCACACACACACACACACACACACACACACCAACACAGGCATATAAATATGAACCACATTCCTACACACACAGAAAAAAATTAATAGTAATAATTCATGACTCATGAAATCCAGATTTTGGCCTCCAAGGAGCCCATCTGGGAGACACCTGCATTCATTCTTTCACATCTGGGTCTCTGGTTGCTCTAGAACTCGTGGAGAAGAGACTATTCCCAGCTAAGGAGGGTAGCCTTCAAACCCAGGCTATGGGCGGGTAATCTCTTTATAGAAAAGGTTTGCCCACCCCAGACAAGGTACCAGCTACAGCACAGGGCAAGAGAGACAGTCATCTTGAGCTGTAGAGTTAAGATAGGGTAGTGTATGAGAAACCACTCCCTCCAGATGAACCCCACCTCCCAAAGGTTCCATAACCTCTCAAAACAGTTCTACCAACCAGGAACCAAGTGTTCAAACACCCGTCTCCCTCTTAGGGACATTTCACATTCAAATCATGAAAACGCTCAACTTCTCCTTCACACACATGATTTCCAGGCACCCCATTACTATTGTCTTTTGGAGACAGGGATTGAAATTCACCCCAAAAAGGACTACAGAAGGTGAAAGGAGACTGACACATGATAGGTTGTCAGGAAAGGGAGCCCTTAACCACACACCCCACCCAATCTCTTAACTTCCTGCCTAGACTTCTTGCCAGTGGGGAAACCTGTGCAGTGGGAGAGATGGGGAGAGGACAGCTCCCTTCTCCTTTCCCACGTGTCCTTTGCCTCCAGTTCTCACCTGGTGACGATTATGTGGTGCCTGTTCCTCCTGTAGCCACATCCCAGTCTGGCTCCACCACTCTGCCCATTGCCTGACTTTCCATGTGAACCCTGGTGGTCCAGAGACAGAAGACATCCCTTAGGGTCAAATGGTGTCTCTTCAGCCTTCTAGATGGTTTTCACTGGTCTCAGTCATCAACAGAATGGCTGTATCCACATGAAAACACAATGCATTCTAGCCCAGAGGCCTGAAGTTTGTGAGCAGCATGTAAAAGTTATGTTTCTTGTTACTGTAACAAAATACATGACAGAAGCAACTTCAGGGAGAAAGGGTTTATTCTGGCTCACAGTTGGAGGGTACAGTCCATCTTAGCATGGCTAAGTCATGCTAAACATGGAAGTCATGGCTG